ATGGTGTTCATTGACGATATTTTGATTTACTCTAAGTCAGAAGAAGAGCATGCAGAACACTTAAGAGTAGTATTGCAAGTTTTGAAAGAGAAGAAGTTGTACGCAAAGCTGTCCAAGTGTGAGTTTTGGTTAAAATAGGTTAGTTTTCTTGGTCATGTGATTTCAGGTAGTGGCATTGCTGTAGATCCATTGAAGGTTGATGTTGTGTTGCAATGGGAGAGTCCAAAGTCATCTACTGAGATTAGAAGCTTCTTGGGATTAGCTGGTTACTATAGAAGGTTTATTGAAGGGTTTTCTAAGTTGTCACTTTCGTTGACTAAGTTGACTTGTAAAGGTAGAGCTTTTGTATGGGATGTTCAGTGCGAAGAAAGTTTTACATAATTGAAGAAGAGGTTGACGTCGGCTCCGATTTTGACATTGCCTAATTCAGGAGAGCGTTTTGTGGTGTATTGTGATGCTTCTAAGATGGGTTTAGGAGGTGTGCTTATGCAGAATGGTAAGGTAGTTGCTTATGCGTCAAGGCAGTTAAGGATTCATGAGAAAAACTATCCTACACATGATTTAGAGCTTGCTGCAGTTGTTTTTGTGTTGAAGATTTGGAGACATTATCTTTACAGTTCTAGATTTGAAGTGTTTAGTGACCATAAGAGTTTGAAGTATTTATTCGATCAAAAGGAGTTGAATATGAGGCAACGAAGATGGTTGGAATTGTTAAATGATTATGATTTCAATTTGAATTATCATCCAGGAAAAGCGAATGTGGTAGCTAATGCGTTAAGTCGAAAGACTATACATATGTCAGCAATGATGGTTAAAGAGTTGGAATTAATTAAGCAGTTCAGAGATATGAGCTTAGTTTGCGAGGTTACGTCGCAGAGTGTTATGTTGGGTATATTGAAGATTAATAATGAATTTCTAGACAGTATCAGATAAGCTCAGAAGTTGGATGTTAAACTGGTAGATTCGATGGTTAGAATCGATCAATCTGAGAATGGTGATTTTAAGCTAGATGAGCAAGGTGTGTTGAGGTTTCGTAACCAGGTTTGTATTCCTGATGATGCTGAGATGAAGAAGGTGATACTTGAGGAGAGTCATAAAAGTAAGTTGAGTATTCATCCAGGAGCTACAAAGATGTATCAAGATTTGGATTGAAGGTCACCCTTCATTGGATCGAAGTCCGCCCTTCGTTTGGATCGAAGGCCATTTTCTTCCTTAGATCGAAAGACTATTGCTTCTTGTATTTTTATTTTTGCTACTCATTTCTTTTTTAGTTTCCCTTTTAAATTAACATAAAACAAAAAATCATCATAAAAATTAGGATTAGATTTATTAATTAAATTAATTTCTGAATTAATTAATTAATTAATTTTAACAGCTTTTTCTATAAAAAAATTAAAATAAATTAGAATTTAGGTTTAATTTTATTTTTCTCAATTTATTTTCTTCTCATAAAAAACCAAAAAAACAAAACAAAATATTTTTATTCCATAGGGTTTCAGACACCTTTTCCAATTCGCGCGCAATTATATTTTAGTGTTATCATATTATTGTATTTGCTTTCTGATTGTAATAGACTGTAATTTGGACTCCTTTATTTTTACTGCTTTCTTTATATTTCCCCAAAGTTTAGGCATGTAATAATCCCCCTCCCCGAAGCTTTGTAATAGCGTAGGATTTATAATTCCCGCATTTTATTTCCTGTACATATTAAATGCTAGATGTATGACTAATAGGATTTCATGGCAAAGATTAAAATCAAACGTTAGCAAACCTAACACAAAAGAAAAAAATAACTGAATACAACACATTTGAACATATACACCTCTAGGGTATTCCCACTTCGGTTGCCTTCGGAAATAAAACAGTCATGTCCCTCGAAAATAAGGACGCTTTAGAAAATACCCTCGAATCAAAAAATCATAGTCCCTCGATGACCCTATGGTGTTTCCTTTCGGTAAAATGATCTAGTACTTTAAAAAAATTTGCTAAAGTGTCTCTATATGTTGCCTTTGTGACTGTACGATGACCCGCGAACGTCCCTCATACATCTAAGCGACTATGGCTACCTACTCACTAATAGTAGGCTAGTTTTGTCTAAAGGAAAGGAGGAAAAGAACAAATCTTTCGAGTAAAAAGTAGATAGCTGTTAGATGCTTGCTAAAAAAAACAAATTTTCACACTTACACAAAAACATTTCAAAACACTTTCAAAAGCGCTTTTGTCAACACTCTTGAGGACTGATACAAGAGTTATCATAAAGCGAATCTCCACACTAAGGCAATTTCAAAATACTTTTCAAAAACACACAAAAGCACAAGGTATTTCAAAAAATGAGTTAAGCATCTAAGAGCCCGTAGAAAACTACAGATGAAAAGGGTTCTAACACCTTCCCTTTCCATAATCTACCCCCTTATTCAGAAATAATCTCGAAAGGTCTTTTTTCTATTCTTTTCACCCTCTCTTTGTTAGATAAAAGAAAAGTCGGTGGCGACTCTTGCTTACCACAACATTTGTAAATACAAATGCAAAACCAGTATAACAGTCGATTCTGCCACCGTATCACACTTGGAATACCATATCTTGAGTAATCAGTTGATTAAGTGGTCGAAAGTTCAAATGTCCAAACCTCAAATGCCACAATCAACTATCCTTGTGGTCGAACAGTTTTCAAACATTGAACTTCTGTCGAATTGATCATTATCTTAAATGTCCTGCTTTTCGACAACGAAGATTTTAAGACCAAATTATTCTTGGTGTCGAACAATCTCAAAACTCCATCTTTCATGACAATTGAGAAACTTTTTTCGACTAGTTATTTAACACTTAGAAAGTTGCACTTTATTCCATGTACATAGAGCACATCTTTAATCATAACTTTTCCTCCATTACTCATTTGAAAGACTATGTTGCCAGTACCTTCTGCTTGCAATGAACTATTATCAGCAAGTTTTACCTTGCTCTTCTTTGACTTGTCAAAATCTGCCAACCAACCCTTTCGATCAGTCATGTGGTTGGAACAACTTGAACCGGATTTTGAATTCGACATAGTTATCTGTATCCGCACACCTCTTTTATCTACTTTGTGCTTTCGAGAGTTTCCTTTTCGACCTGATGCTTGAAAGCCCAATATGATCCATGGAAACTATATGGGACATTAAAAATCCAATTGAACTTGTGCAAACTCAAACCCTAATTATGAGGTATTAGTGCTGAGGAGGTGGCTTGACCTAGTCAATACTTGTGCAAACTTGAGCTTTTGAAAATCTTTGTGAGAAATATCTTGAGAAAAAAGAGGGCAAATTTTGGGGTACAATAGTACCTCTTTCCAGAAAAAAATTTAATAGATGAAAAATATATAAGAAAATAAAAAATAATTAAATTTAGATTAGAATAAAAAAACATAATGTGTACTTACCTTACCATGCCATAGATGACAAGCAACATGATACTCGTACCATACAAAAATAGACATGTTGTACGACCCTCTAGAACACTAAAGTGGGTGTTGTTGACATCCACCTACTTGTTCTTATTATATACTCCCTCTGACCATCATTATAAGTAAATATTCTCTTTTTAGAACTACAAGAAAAAGACTCCCCAACGAAGTGATTTTGTGACGTGATAATCATGTGGCAAAAAAGTGAGTTGCAGCGTGATTATCACATCACTAATATTTTATAATAACAAAATATTCAGCCTGCAACGTTCACATGGGGAATCATATTTTATTTTAAAAAAATAACGTTGCGGCGTGTTTATCACATCTCAAGTTAAAAGTTTTAAAAAAATATGAAAAACCTAAATGTTTAAATGGGGGGAAGTATAAAAATCTCAAATTTTAATTTGTGACGTGTATATCACGTCGCAAAATTTAAGTGGAAAATTTTGAAAAATAAAGTGATATAGTAGACTGATAGATAATTGATGGGACGCAGAAGGCTTTTCAGTCTTTGTACCATTGATTGTTTGCGACGTGAATATCACATGGCAAGGTTGCGACGTGATACTCACGTCACTGATTGACATTAATTTATTACCGTTGTTACAGGTGACTGTAGGCCGTGCGAATAAACTATTGAACGTTGTGGAGTTTGCGACGTGGAAATCACGTGGCAAGGTTACGACGTGATTTTCACGTCGTTGATTGACTATATATTATTTTTTTTGTTTCACAAACAAAAACCCCATCATTCACCATCTTCTTATATCTTCTTCTTCTTTCTTTCTTTCTTTCTGTTTATCACTATCTATATACACTCATATCTCAATTTTTATTCCAGTTTCAATTTACAAAATAACTTATACTTATAAATTGTGTGCTAATCATGAATATAAAATCAATTTGAATTTCTTTAAACAAAGACAAACAGATTGTATGATTTTTAGAACTTTATTCATTTGATTCTAAATTGAATCTAATTTTTAATCTTATAAAAATAATTTTTTAATAGTAATCTTTACTAAGATTTATCATAAATTTTTCATATTTTTTATCAATTTCTTTCTAAATGTTTCTTTCTTGAGAATGACTCAAAACTTCTTTGATTTAGGTTATGATAATTGCAAATTTAGTGTGATGTTCACGATTCAATCTCTTACCAAAAAAAGAAAAATACTAACAATAAACTATTAATAACTTACCATTAAAAAGATAGAACATGTTAACTATAAACAACCTCTTGCATTGGATGCCTAAAAAATATAACTTCTCTTGCATAGAATGATTCTATGACTATAACCTGACCAAATAGTGTACAAAATAGAAATGAAGTTATTGGAATTAATGTTAATCTAAATAAGAATATTAATGTATAGATAGATAAAAGTGTGAGACAAGGATTGAGTTTTAAGACCCACGTAGCTACAACATTTATGCATGCATTCGACACCTAATCCTCCACACGTCAACCATTAGAAGCTCTTAAAACTTTCACACCTAATTATGCTGATTATTATAAAAACACCTCCATATTTCTACCATTCCTAACAAACATTCAATGGCTCGAAAGAGTGGTAAGAAAATGGTGGTTAAATCCACTAAGAAAGTCGTTGAAGAAAGTGTTCAAGTTTCAGTTATAAGCAGCAACAAGAGACTAACACGTAGAAACAAAGATGCTGAAGCAGAAGAACAAGAAAAAGAGCAAGTATTAAGAGTCATTCCTGTTCATGAAGCAAAAGGAGACGATTCAACTTCAGGCACAACAACAATCTCTAGTGAAAACAAAAACAATGACCAGGAAGAACAAAACAGAAACATTAATATCATCAGAGAGGAGATGAAGAAGAGCAAGACAGAGAAAGTGAGTAAGAAGAAGAGGAAGAAGAGTGTTGAAGGGTACCAAAGGTATGTGTACAAGGTGTTGAAACAAGTGCATCCTGAAATGGGAGTTTCATCGAAATGCATGGTGATTTTGAACAATTTTATGAATGATATGTTTGAGAGAGTAGCTAGTGAGGCTAGTAAGTTGAAGGATTATACAGGAAACATGACATTGTCATCAAGGGAGATTCAAGGAGCAGTTAAGCTTGTTTTGCCTGGTGAGCTTGGGAAACATGCCATTGCTGAAGGGATTAAAGCTGTCAACAACTATACAGCTTATCAATCTGCATCATGATGCTTAACTTTTTAAGAATGTGATCATGTATAATTAATTAGGTTAAGTAAGTAGTGTTATTGTGTGTGTTTAGTGTGGTATTTTGGTTGCATGTTGTCTTGTTAGTATAGTTTTTTAAGTAGTGTTATTGGGTTTGATGATACCATGATGTAAGAAAATAATTTTGATAAAATATATGCATGTGTTAAAAAGTATCATATTATTTGGACATGTGTCTAAAGAATTTGCTCAATTATTTCCCATTAATGTTTTCATCTTTATCCTCTTATCAAGAGATGCTCAAACAAGTTATCATATTTTTTATGTTTTGGGGAACAACTTTATTATCCTAAAAAATGGTTGGGTAACTATCCAAACGAGTAGTATCAATATATTGGCAATTTTCCATGTCATTTAGAAAGTCCTCGGTTTTGTAAGAAAAATTATATAAGAAAAATTATAAAAGTTGGAATCACTTAATTGATAAAAATGGAGGATTTGAATGTGAGGAATGAGAGAGATAATTGAAGATGGAAATATTTTTATTAACATTGATAACAATACCTCCAAATTATAAAAGTGGTTTTGTAAGAAAAATTATATAAGAAAAATTATAAAAGTTGGAATCACTGATAAAAATGGAGGATTTGAATGTGAGGAATGTAAGAAAAATTATATAAGAAAAATTATAAAAGTTGGAATCACTTAATTGATAAAAATGGAGGATTTGAATGTGAGGAATGAGAGAGATAATTGAAGATGAAAATATTTTTATTAACATTGATAACAATACCTCCAAAGTATTTATATGTCTATAAGTGGATTAGAATACAAGTCAACATAAGAAGTCAACATAAGTTAAAAACTAAAAAAAAACGTGTGCATGTAATATAACAGGTTACATAAAACTTGTAATTGGGTACAATTACTATTAAAATTAAAAATACAACAGTAGTAATCGGTTACAACTGCTGTCTGAATCACTTTTCTTAAGCTTATTTAATTCTTTTTATATGTCTGTAACCGATTACACGCCCGTGATAACCGTTTACAACACTTAAATTATGAAAATTCTCTTAACACACCATCTTAAATGTTCCAAGTCTTCCATGTTCATGTTCATGTTCATCCTCTTGAACACTTCAATGGTGACTCTCTTGGTCAAACAAATAAGTCACTTGGTCTTTACTTCTACAATATCCTAATCTCAATCTTCCTTCACTAACAACCTCTCTCAAGTAGTGAAAACTCATCTCAATAGATTTTCTCCAAAATGGATCCAATCAAGTATATTTTTAAAAAGTCTGCTCTTATTGGGAAAATTGCCTGCTGGCAGATGCTGTTATCTGAATATGATATCGAATACCGCACTCAAAAAGCTATTAAGAGCAACGCGTTGGCAGATTATCCTGCTCACCAATCAGTTGACGATTATCAGTCTGTGAAGTATGATTTCCCTGATGAGGATGTGATGTTTCTGAAAGTGAAAGATTGTGATGAATCATTGCCTGAGGAAGGTCCTGACCCTGAATCTCGCTGGAGTATGATATTTGATGGAGTTGTGAATGCTTATGGTAAAGGAATTAGTGTTGTGATTGTCACTCCACATGGATCACGCATTCCTTTTACTGTAAGGTTGACATTTGATTATACTAATAATATGGCAGAATATGAGGCTTACATCATGGGTCTCGAGGAAGCTATTGATCTCAGAATTAAAATTCTAGATGTGTATGGAGATTCAGCTTTGATAATAAATAAAATTAAAGTGGAGTGAGATACTCGTCACCCCGACTTGATCCCTTACAAAGATTATGCTAGAAGATTGTTACCCTTCTTTAATAAAGTTGAATTCCATCACATCCCTAGGGATGAAAATCAAATGACGGATGCTCTGGTAACTCTGGCTTCTATGTATCAAGTAAATACTTGGAATGATATACCTCGAATTATAGTTAGGCGACTGAATAGGCCCACTCATGTGTTTACAACAGAGGAGGTAGCGGATGAGAAACCTTGGTATTATGATATCAAGCATTTTCTTCAAACTCAGAAATACCCGATTGGTGCATCAAATAAAGATAAAAAGACATTGAAAAGATTGACTGGCGGTTTCTTCCTCAGTGAAAATGTGTTGTATAAGAGAAATTATGACATGGTCCTGCTCAGATGCGTGGATAGACACGAAGCAGACATGTTGATGCATGAGGTTCGTGAAGGATCATTTGGCACACACGTCAATGGACATTCGATGGCTAAAAGGATGCTAAAGACAGGTTGCTATTGGCTGACAATGGAATCTGACTGTTACAAATTTGCAAAGAAGTGTCTTTTCCCAACTAGTAAACGGGGTCTGCTCCAGAACAGAGATACCAAGCAGCTCAGAGAACTCTTCTAGGGTGGGAACCAGCTGATAGTCCTGGAAAGTAAAACAATGGTACAGCGGATCATAGAACTGGACTAGGACACTCATCATCTGCTCGTCCAATTTGGAGGTGACCAAACTGAGAAGAGAACCATGCCTCCTGATGAAGAAAGTAGTGTCAGGCATCTTGGCAACCAACTCTTTAAGCAAGGTAAAGACTTGGATAAAGTTGATCCGGATGGTATTCTTACGCATGGGCATCATGATGACCTACTAAACAGAACAAAGATGAATCCCTCCTGTCTTTGAAATAGGTTAGTCCAATGCAAGATGTATGCAATGTTATGATGTCATGATGTCATGATAGTAAGCACACCACAAGTATCCACAAAAAGCAAACATGGTAAGGGCACACAAGTCACACAGAGAGCCCTTAGATTTTAGGCTGGCAAGGAGCTTAGGTACTACCCTCTTTCATTTCAGTTGGTTTAAACCTGTCCTAAAAATAGTAACCGGGTTCTAGAGGATCTCAATATCACTGACTACCCTCAATCGGTCATAATTCCAGTTTAGCAACCTTTTCTTGCGGCCGGAATCATCGCGAGAGTTTAGTCTCAATGAGTGTAGCATATTGCTACTGTTCTATGGCCAAGTTGGTCAATTTATGGTTCTAAGGTCAGTTGGTGCTTAATGACCCCTTAGAAGACGCATATTCTCCTCATTCCATCACAAGGGATATCGGTACAGACTAAAGTGCCACACCAACGTAGCTACTACTTCAACCGTGTCGGTCTACGCCAGACAGTTCCCTCACAGTTTAATGCTACTTACCTAAAGGGTATCCCGAGATCCGGGTTAGGATCTATAGAACTCCGATACAAGCCCACAAATATAAATTATACAAAGCATACAATTGAAAACACAATGATCTAATCTTAAGGTACACCCCACTTATTAAACTCCCCAGCAGAGTCGCCAGTTCTGTGATACGGTGGGAAAGAACTGACTGTTTTTGATATGCTGGTTTGCGTTTTGCGTTTATCTTTGCAAAATGTCGCGGTAAGCAAGAGTCGCCACCGACTTTTATTTTATCCAACAAGGAAAGGAAAAAAGCACAGAAAAATTCCTTTTTTGAGATGTTTCTCGGGTCCGGGGGGTAGATTATAGAAAGGGAAGGTGTTAGCACCCTTTCTGTCCGTGGTTATCCACGGGCTCTTAGGTACTTGTTCAAAGTGTTTTCAAAATTTGCTTTTCTTTGTATTTGTGGGTTTGAAAAGAGTTTTGTTTGAAAGGTGTAAGTGCGAAAAGTTTTGTTTTGTTTTGAAAGAGCAAGTACTTAAGAACCATCTACCTACTCGAAAAAGGAATGAATCTGTGCTAATGTCCTTTAGACAATTCTATCCCACTATTGATGAGTAGGTATCATCGTTGTTGGATTTTTAAGGGCCAATTCGATTAAGGGACGTGTGGTCACTAAAGCAATGTTAGGACGCCTTAGCGGTAACCCTAATGTCTTAGATCATTTTTCCGAGGCAACCGTTTCGAGGCAACTATGATCTTTGGACAAGAGGGCGACCTCTAAAACTTCCCATACTCAATGACCACGTTCGAAGGCAACCAAGTGAGGTGTAGCCTAAGAGTGCGCATGTGCGAGGGAGACACGCCTTCGTCTTCTCCAATACAACCTGGTTCTTTTTCCTGCGGATTTGAATCTGCAACTAAATCCCTAGGTCGATCCTAAAATCGTCTCTAGGCTATGGAAACGAATTCTGAGACCATCATCATGCTCGTCTCTTCCTCCTGAATTCATCCATGTTCATTACTTGCCTCAATTTTGCCTGAAACTAAAAACCCAAAAAACAAGAAACACGAACCCTAGATTCGGGCATGGCATCACAGGCTATGAAAATAAAATCAAATATTGCAGAAAGTTTCGAAATCACACAAGGATCATAACCATGCCAATAACTTGTCAAAAAAAATGCTAGAATGAGAGATTGCATTTTCATGTACAGGGCGGTGTTCAAGGAGACTTACAACGCGATTCAGGGAGGGAGAGGGCTTGCTTTTGATTCCTTCTCACTCAGTGGACGTCTGGAAATTGAATTGCGTGGAGTTTTGGCCTTGAAAACGCCTCTAGGATGGATTTCAGTTTTCAACTTTTTCAAGCTTTTTCCAAGTTTTTGTTCTTGTGAATTAGCAGCCTCCAAGTTCTCAAATTCGTGCCTCTAGCTTCTATATGTAATAAGGAATGAATTAGGTTAACATTTGTGGATTCAATCCTTATGCGTTGATGTTTTAAGATTTGATTTTATTCTCCATTGAAAAAGCTTCCAAATTTGACCAAAAACCAATATTTTGTACATGATATGGCTTGATTCAGATTTGATTGTGTACATTATGATATTTAAAACCTATATCAATCAAAAAGATACCAAGTGATCAATTTTTGGATTTTATTTGGATTTAAATTGATTTAAAATGAATTAATTCAATAAAAATCAAATAAAATAGAAATATTAATAAATGGACATGAGATTGAAGATAGGACACGTGTGTAGTGTGACAAGATCAAATCAAGTGGAAAAAAGTGGGCCCATTTGACAAAATTTGAAGTTTTGGGGATAGTTGACTTTTGGCAATTTTGGAAAAATGC